AAATTATGCAAATAAAAAATCCATTACTACAGACAGCTGAAATTATATTTTCAAATTGATCAGTTCCTTCTCATATCGTGTCTACATATTGAACAGTTGAGATAGGTAAGGTGATGTCATTAAAGCAAGTATTATAGAAAATAAGAACAATATTGATTTCCAATTAGTGATACATGAATGACAACAGACTAAACTACGTTAACAAAACAAAGAGTAATCAATAAATAATAATCTGATATAAAAATCTTTTGCAAGGACAACTCACAAACTCTAAATGAACAGCCATATTTATCAACAATAGTGTAGCAAGCTTCATCTTGATATCATCTAAGTGATCACGCTCGGTTTGGTAATGATTAAAGCAAAGTAATTCAGATAATATCTGTGAGAAATTACTTTTCTCAATTTTTCACTTCGACTGCTATGCCTTTTTTTATTAACTCAGTTCCGATATAAATATCGTCTTCAGAAGTTGAAGTATCTATCAACACCAACTGCAGTACTAAATCTGATTCATACAATTCGTCTTTCTCTATATCTATGATGATAGAATAAAATGATTTTTTCTCTACCATTTCTTTAAAATAATTACAGTCCTCCATGGTCCATTTCGATTCTTTTGGTTTCACACCTGTTGAAGAAAAATAAATTATTTAAAACTTTCTATCACTACACTATGGAATTGAAAAAATCCAACAGAGGTCACATATAGAAAATGTAAAACGTAGATTTTCAACATCCCAATAAGGCGTGTTACGTTTAAACTGCTCCATGGCTTTATAATTATTTGGGTTTATCTTGTAGTGGTAGTGGGAGAGATGAATATTTTGAGAGTTTATTACAAAATATTAATTTTCTGTTATAATCTAAGTAATCTATATTGTGAATAGTTGAAGCTATCGGCATCTCAAAGGCCAACAAAACCATTTAGTTGCAAAGTTACGAATTATCATTTTTTCTAGTCTTCATTTCCAACTCCTCAATTGGTTATCCAAATTCAAAACAGTAAAAGTTGTAAACTAGTCGTTTCTAAAAAAAAGTTAATAGCTCCCTCTCTGCAAAGAGTGAGGTCAAATAATTGTCTTTTTACAACAAAGAGTACTAAAAATGGTTTCTTTTAATGATTTTTTTTCGGATAACAGGGGGAAAGAGACTAGTCACGTCCGCCCTGTATATCACGTGTGAGAATATACTTACTATGAAGCTTAGCTTTTAGAGCCTGATAAGGAAGCTGCATGAACTCAACATCGAGAGGAATCAACTGCTGTACATTCAGGTTGCCGTAATATCCGAAATCACAATAAAATACGGATATCGACCCAGAGTGTATAACTTTGATTACACTGGTCCTGCAAAAAATATTTTTCAATGCTTGTAAAATTGATTGCACAATAAAACTTTGTCCCAAATAGTGGATGTCAC